CTCTTTATTTCTAAGAGCATTTGCATAATATCTTTCGGTATGGTACACATGCATTTAATTCGAGAACCTATTTTTTATAAAGAACGACTGATTCGCATTTGTAAGTGATGCCTCGGCGTTCTATTATTTGCAATAAACAAAGGGATGATACGCAAATTCAATAAAATGCAATCCGCGGTACATTTGTACGCCAACTAGCAGGACAAAACTTTACAGAGGTACAGAGATACAGAGCTATCATTCGGTAAAATGGGCTAATTTTGTTGGAGCATTTGCCATGAAAATTTCAAAATTGTTTATGTAGAATAGGTGTTCCGTTTATAATCAAATTTTATTGCATATTACAATGTTATCATATAAAACCAAATTATAATATATTACACATAGCGATATACATACATATAAAGACAATATACATTTTTATGCATTATAATTTATTTATTTAATTTTGTCTACATGCGAGCCGCGACTAAAAATAAATCAATTACACAAAGATTTTACGAAAAACGTAAATTGCGTAAATTTTGATTGTTCAAGTATCAATAGTATGCACGCATTCAAAGGCGAAAGTCTGCTTCAAACGTTGATTGAATTTGGAAGTTTCGTCCGTCAATACTGTACTTGTGTGCATGTGCTCGAATAAACACTGAAATTACATACCAGAAATCAGAAAATGTTTGAATTCTATTTGGCAATTTAATAGTACAATAAAGAATGCACGAACTCTCTGTCAAAAGTTTTTAAATTGCGACGGTGATAAACGCAAGAATACTTTTTTCCCTTATTTTTAAACTACATTTTTTTTCTCTTAGTCTCGCATCTAATTGATTAACTGTACTTTTGTGCAGTTTTATTCTTAATTTTTTAATGATGCAGTTGTTTCTCGCAAACTTTTCAAAGTTTGACGGCTCGGTCTCATCTCCGATAGATAATCCTGCAGCATCCTCAAAGCAAACAATCGGCAACAACAATAACAATGATTCTCGAGCAGCCTGCGGCTCCAGCGTTTTTCTTTAATTCGTTCTAATTAGCGCAAACCGGCGTTAACGAAGGTTTCACTTCCGTGGGAATTAATTAAGCTGGTTTCCGAACTTTGCCAACGGTAGCCGCCGGTGGGTGGTGGTGTTGGCGGCGGCTCTCTCTTCGCATAAAGCCCGAGAAGGCGAAAAAGGAACAGTAAAGGTGATGGGGGCTGCCCCACTGAATATTCATATATTGTAATCAACCCCTTGCGGACTGCGGGCTAGACACACACGGTGCCCGGGCACGTACGTATGAGCACGCACGGACTATCCTCTCATCGCGTCTCCTTCAGGCGACCGAGCGCATGCCGATGTTTTCCACGTTGCACTTTCTGCACGATGCGCCGGTGGAGTTAAGAGGCCGCAATCAACGCATGAGATACAATGCATGCAGAGCCCGGACGGCGCTCATTAATTTTGCTCATATCGCGAGAACGACGAGACAGCAAATTTAATCGCTAAACTCTACTTTATGCCGCACGTGTTTAAATGGGTCTAATTGTTTACATTTTCTACGAAAGTTACATTTTATCCACTAAATATTGTTTCAATGCATACATTTATGTTTTTTTTTTGTTTTTTTTTGTTTTTTTTTTGTTTTTTTTTGTTTTTTACTTTATTTGTTAACTAAATTAACTATTTTTACAACTTTTAGAATTAGTAGGTAATAATTAATTTAATATTCATGAACTTTTATATTTTCTATATGTATTCGCCTTCTTCATCACATTTTGTGCGATCTTAATATCTGTTTGAGTTTAATTAATATCTCATGAAATTTAATACTAGGCTTACCGTCTTCTCAGTATTCATTAATTCTCGGAGTGGAATGAAAGAGCGATAACTTAATCAGCTAAGGAGCTTTCTTTGCAGTCGCTGGGCGTCAGTTTCTTGGCTTTGAAAGATTTATAAAGTTTGGGGTCTCAACTAAAATTTGATAATACAATGTTACGTGAATGAAAGTATTATGTAGTTTTAAATAATTGCGTTGAATCTATAAAATATGTTATAAGGAACATTAGAATTTCTAAAAAAAAAAAAACTATATTTTATAGTATTGCATGATTTGTCAGTCATTCAAGTCGTATAAAATTCTATTGAAGATGAATGATTTCCATTGAAATAAAGATTCCACATTGCTGTTTCGTAATAAAATTACATTTGTTTCAACATTATTAATGCATATTAACTTGGCATTCTGAGATTAAAATATTATAATACATTCATATGAATCCATTCTGTCATATTCATCATTCCTTTCATTTTTGAGGTCGGTTTTACGCGCAGAACAAAATTTCATAATATAAAACATATAATTATATCACATATTCCATTTGTACTAATACCTTCTCCATTCTTTTCCTCAAAATCAATAATCGGAACCAAAATAGAATTTCATTGTACGGGTTCGCAAATGCTGCCAATTGTGCAATCCTTTATATGTTTTTGAATATTTCTCGTTATTTCAACTAAGCCCATTTAATTAAACTTGATCGGTCATTTATTTCTCTTCAGCATGAAACAGATCATTACTCCACTCTTAATTAACTTTATGTTGCATACAACTATGATATGGCATGCAGAGGTTTAATTTATCAAAAGCGAGTGTAAAAGAGAAAATATAATTCAGTAATAATCTCTCGATTAATTAATTTCGAGAGATTCCTGCAAATATTTGTCGAATCTATTATGTGTAAAGAGGGGTACAATGTATGTAAAGGTTCGAAGAGGGCAAAGGTCAAGCACGAATTACGAGTTTACATATAATTCCATTGATCTATGTCAACAATCGTATATTTCAACGTTTATGACATGTTTTTTTTTTTCAAAACTAATACGCGGATACAAATCACAGCTAAAAAAAGAACATGAGACAATTGCACGTTTGCAGTTGACGATAGATTACTTTATTAAAAATATTTACGTCGCATATTCCTCGGCTTTGCGCTAGATGCGTTTGTGCCATTTTAATCAGAGATTTTTCGCCGTCGACTCAGTCTCATCTCTTCTCTTTTACTGCGATCCTTATTCTTATCCGTCACAGCGACGCCCGTAATTCTTTGTTACATTCTGGCGCAAAGAGGGAGACCAAGAGGAGCTAGAAGCGGTGAGATGCATTGTTCCGTGCATACGACAGTGCGATATTCATGCTATCTTTAATAAAGGTCACATAAAAGCTTCTTCGAGCATTGCGCTACCCTTGGAAATTCAATTATAAATGTACATACGTTCAATTATACATCTTTAATCAATTCATGTCACACTTTTTTTCTTTTCTTAATTGCAATAAACGACGATGAAATATTTGACATGTAACATATTATAAATTTAAATTAGATCTTTTAATATTAAATTTTCTCTTTAATTGGCTCGATTAATTATAATCGCTATTGAAGAGTCAGAGAACTGAAATGTTTACTTTGTCGTGCAAAGTTGAAAATTTTTTCATAAGTTTAAGTAAAGATAATTATTCTGCGGAATTTTAAAATCTTATTTCAACGGAGACTCTAATTTCGTGTATAATATTAGTCAGCTTGATTTTGCTTGATTTTCTCTTTTAACGTAGAAATTTTGTCCAGTTAGCAAACAGATGTGTGATCAGCTATTAGTAGACGACCACATGCTTGCAATTTATATAAATGTTGCTTTAGATAAAATGAGAATGTTGTTGCGTCGTTCGTGCTTATACGAATCTTTGAAACATCGACATCTAGAATATATTTAATTTATATAATTAAATAATACCAAAATTAGCTAATCATTGTAATTAATTATTAAACATTGTTGAAACAGTAAATTTAATAAGTGAGTTAAAAATAAAAAAGTAAGATTGGCGAGCAATACGATTATTGCTCTAAACTACTAGTTTACTCGTTATATTCAAAAGGACTCGAGCAAGCGTTTCATGCGACGTCAATATTTATTCATATTCTCGCAGCTTGAATGGAAAAAGCAGCGTCGGATTCTGTTACACTTTTGAGTAAGTTAGAGAAGGGAAACGTTTCACGTTGGATTTATTGAGAACTCAGAGAACAGGCGTGTTGGCGGAGACGTCCTCGCGTAATCTCAATTAGCTGGTTTGAATCTCTGCGCCGCGAATTCTTTCCTGTTCTCTTTTCGTTGTTGCCAACGAGGCGACGCCGTCCAGCGTCGAGTGAGTTTGCATCGATCGCTTTTTTTTCGTCGTGCTGCCGTTGGTGCACACCAGGCGCAAGGTGAACGACGACCGCGAATAAAAGCGAGGAAAAGCCGGAATTAAGCTCTGAGACCGACGAAGGAGGTAAAGGCCCATGGAGAGAATTTGCCGCAGAGTACTGGCAATAGAAATTTGCGAACGACGAAAAAGGATCACACGATTTTTTTCTGCTGCCAAGTGAAAAATATAGCCGATCCAGTAGTGATTGATCTATATCTTAAAAAAACGCTCCATTTTTCTGAAAAATTGTGATAAAAAACATCGCTCATTTAAAAATTGGAATTTGATGTTTTACGCTTATGTAGTCTTTTATTGTTTTTTTAATATCAAGTGATGTTGATGATTTTTTTATAGGCCTATTTAGCAATGCGATTAATTCACAATTCTTACGAAAATGTTGTATGATAAAAAATTTCGAGTATACTAATAAATTATAAAGGTAGATAAAATTATATTTAATGTGACGCGTTATAATTAATTTATGATATTTTATTGTTTCAGGTGAGTCAAACGATGTCGATTATTCTCGCTGCGTTAATGTAAGTAAATGCATGATTATGTACAATGTTATTGACCATTCGAAATATTATGATTTATAATATTGTGGCATTTAATGGATTAAGCGTCATAACATCACAAATGAAATTATTTAAAATATCTCGTTTGTTGATATGTACCTGTTTACAAACTTTCTATTTCAATCCGCTAACATTCCATTAAAGGGATTTGAATTGTTTCTCGCAGAGAAAATAAGGGAATTTCAAATAAATTTATTAAATAAAAAATTTGCAATATTGTTTATTTGATGCGTAGAATAAAAATTTCTATAACTCTGATACATTATACATATTTTCTGATAGCATCGTCGAGTAAAATAGATTGTTGGAAAGATTTTTATTTAACCGCAAATTCTGTCCGCACAGCACGATGGGAAAGGTTTATCGTTATCTTGGCTGATCCATTTCACGATCCTCTCGCCAGACGGGCATGGTTTTACTACACATCTGAAATATAAATTTATCCAACTCTTAAAAAAGGCATGAAAGATCGATACTCGAATGTATCGAAAGTATTGTTGACGCTTTTCCGCGACGCTGATTGGTTATCTCGATTATTCTGACAGTTTGATAGTTTGAGAGCGAAGGTTATTTTGACGGTTACTTAAAATTAAAAAAATTTAATTAAAATATTTAGATTTTATAATTATTAAATTATTATAACAAGTGCGCGCGCGTAGCGCGCGCTTGTATTGTTCTAGTTACGATAAAAAAATAGATTCTACAAGTTAAATTTTAATATTGCAAATTTTATTTTTATTTAACGTATTTTTCTCAAATTAAACATATACCGTCTATCAGATGTCCCTGTACACCATTCTGAAAAAAATAAAGATATAAAATTGATAACCATATTATATTTTAATTTTTAAAAATGTTTACCACATTTTTTCTAAAGTCTTTTATTGTATATATTTCTTTTTTTTAATTAGTTACATATTGTTTCAATATTTAAATATTTTCTATTTTAAGTTTTAATATTTTAGTATTTTTTTATTTTAAATATTAAAAATACAATAGTATAAATATATAGCTCTTTTTCTTATTAAAATAATATTCTTGAAACAACAAGCTGATAGAGCAGGAGCTAGTTTTAATTGCTCAAATTTTTTATTTATTATAAAATAATCACAAAAACAGACGTTTCGGCCTAAAGGACGTGGCCCTCTTCAGTGTAACAAATTAAAAATAATGTCGTTAGTCGGAAAACGTTGATAAGATAGTCAGAATAGACATGTTCTCAGGCAATACTTATGATATAGGTAACGCATCCTTTTTTTGACACGGATTGTACATTTTTTTATATCGAACTTATGTGAAGCCAAGGATCATCTTATTAGGTCCGTTAGACATGTGTATTAATTGAAGTAAGACATGCGTCGACAGTAGGGAGTCAAGCCCGACT